TTATGCTGAGCGAAATAAGTCAGGCAGAGAAGGACAGATATCATATGTTTGCACGTATAGGAGGATTAGGAGGAACTTGACGGAGGACCAAGGGGGAGAAGAAGGGCGGAAATGGTGGGGGAAAGGGAGAGAGGCAAACCATGAGAGACTCTTGAATGCTGACAAAAACTGAGGACTGATGGGGGTGGGGAGGAGAGGAAGGGAGGTGATGGGCATGGAGGAGGGCACTTTGGGGATGAGCACTGAGTGTTATGTGGAAACTAATTTGACAATAAACTATTTGTAAAAAAAATTTTTTAAAAAGTTACATTTTATAAAGCAATTTTGGCATTTTTGTTCTCTTGGCAAAATATTATACCTTAAATTTTAACACCATAACCTTTCAATAAATATACCAAGTGCATTTCAGTTGTAGTAAATAACATTAATGACTAATTCTGATTAGAGTCGAACCAGAACGAAAATAAAACAATGATAGAAGTTATAATTAGGATTCAGTATTTGTGACAAAATCCAAAATTCTCCCTTGGTGTGGTATAGTGTAGTGGCCTCAACATCATTGGTTTTTCACTCCTGACAAGATACTACCTGTGGGTCTTCCTTTTTAGAAGGGGCTGGGTTTCTAACAGGAGAATGAGATTCAGGAAGCTGACCTGATGAGTGAGTTTTGATTTGATTACAGAGTGTGTTAAATGTTTAAATTCATCAGCCTCAGGCAAATTGAGTAATGACTGAAGACTAAAGCGTGGTATCAACACATTTTAAAAAAGCACAGCTATTTATAGAGCTGAATCCAGATTTCCTCAGTGCTCTTGAGTGATTAGCTGAATGTTGCTAAAAGTTATTTATTCCATTGCAATTGTTAACTTCGAAAGTGCACCTCCAATATCTTACTGGCAAGGTATGCTTGTCCATATTTAATCACAATCATAGCTTTATTTTAGTGGTTGAGCTACAATGGATTACTGTCCTACCCACGGAAATAATTTACCATTTAACATTGTTGTTCAGCAAATTTAATACCCATATAAGAACTACAAGATTTAGAGAGAGAGCATGTAAATAGTACATTTTCTATCCTGTTATGAAGAAAGCCCTAGATAATTCTATGGCATTTCAAGAGGTCACAAAATGTCCTCCCAGATTCTGATATCAATAAAGCTGCTTTTCTTTAAAATAATAAATTAGATTTTCCCTTTCTTCTAAGCCTACTTCAAGAAAAATACTTTCTTTCAAAAGTTTTCTAATGTTTTTCTTTTACAAATCAGGTATAAAATATTTCGGATATGGAAAAGATTTAAAGAGGAATTCAACACCCTGGATCTACCACTCAGCTTAAGAAATGAAATATTACATAATTCTTTAAGAATCAGTCAAGATTGGGGATATGCCCAAGGGCGTCTTGAGCCAGACTTCTTAGGAGGGGCGCTCAGGCACCCAGGAGTTTCCCCAAGTCCTTCGAGAGCAGGCTTCTTCTGGGAAGAGTGGGCAGAGCTGTGCACCACAGGCCTGATTTGTGTTCTTCCCTGTGCTTAGTGCATCCCAGTCCTTCTTCATGCTTCTTCTCCATCAGGAGCTGCACACATATTCGCATACAGCTTGAAGCATGTAGGGCACCTGGCATGCTCCCCCTACACCCCGTTTGCCTTCCTGGGAAGTTTTCTACCCAGTCACCCAGACCAGGTTCCTCAACCAGGCCCGAGGCTATCTTCCATGATATTCAAAAGAGAACATTTTCTGATGGATGGGTTCGGGTGAATGGGCCAGAAAAAAACAAAAACAAACAGACAAAAAAAAGTGGGGTCGTGAAGGAGTTGGGGAGGCAGGAGGGTGGCTGGGTGACTCAGTAGGTTAAGCCTGGGACTATTTTTTTTTTTAATATTTTTAAATCTTTGTTTTTGAGAGAGAGAGAGAGAGAGAGAGAAACTGACAGAGTGTGAGTGGGGGAGGGGTAGAGAGAGAGAGAGGGAGACACAGAATCCAAAGCAGGCTCCAGGCTCTGAGCTGTCAGCATAGAACCTGATGTGGGGCTTGAACCCATGAACTGTGAGATCGTGACCTGAGCCAAAGTCAGATGCTTAAAGGACTGAGCCACCCAGGTGCCCCTTAACTCTTTTTTAAAAATTAATTAGTTTTTAAAATGTTAATTCCAGTATAGTTAACATACAGTATTATATTAGTTTCAAGTATACAATGTAGTGATTCAGCAGTTCTATACATCACCCAGTGCTCACTATGGCAAGCGGACTCCTTAATCCCATCACCTATTTCACCCATCTCCTCCCATCTCTACTCTGCTAACCATCAGTTTGTTCTCTATAGTTAAAAGTGTTTCTTGGTTTGTCTCTCTCTGAGCTTAACTCTTGACACAAAATAAGAGACTCTTAACCTTTTATGTCTGAGAGCAAAGTGAAGAACAAAGGACCTTAATCTGGAGGAGTTACAAAATGACTTTTCTTGCTTGCCAATTTATCTATCACTGAATAGAAGGAGATTTAGTTACCATCTGGTCTTAGATTATTTAACAGACGGGGAAAATATTGTTCTGGAAGGGCCACATTTTTGCTAGAGTTCAAGTGTTAAGTTGGTAGTGGTGTTATGCTGAGAGATACAGAGACCCACCGACACCACGGAAGCCGAATTAAGGGAGTCTTTATAATTGGCCAGGACCACACAGAGTTAACACAGAACTCTAAATGCGTGGCCCCAAGTCCAAGGACTTAGGGCTTTTTATAATGAGCAAGCAGGCAAGTGGGTAGTACAGAAACAGAATTGAGTGGTTCTTGTAGAAAGGCTACAAAGTGATAAAGAGAGCGGCCCTTATCCTGGTGTGTAGAACAACATTTGTTATTTTGAAGGCACAGTTTAGGGTTTTGGGGAGTCTGAAGGGAATAGCCATTATCTCAAGGACAAAGTGTGCAAACTGTGTCATAAATAACCATTGATGGGGAACATTAACCCTTGTCTTCTTATTTGTTTTTTCCTTGCACCTGAGGATAGTCACATAGCCCTCTGAGTGCGGGCCCAGATGGTAAACTCTGGGTCAAGATAGAAGGACTGAGGCTAAATTCATGTGCAACAGTGGGCTAGCCTGAATGCTCAGTTCTACTGCGAGGTTCCATTCTGCCTGCCATTCATCCTGCCCCTGGTTTGATTCAGCCCAAATAGTGCCTGTTCTGAATCCTGAGGTTAGTCATTTATTTTCTCTTTTTCCAAGTTTCCATTAGCCAACACCCAGATCCCGTGGTGCAAGGTGACATTTATTGGTGCCCTTATTCCCTGACGTTGCTGTTTAGCGTCTGGTTCCTCTTGGTTGTCTCCCTGGACATCCAAACCGGGGCTTCCTTCCTAAAACTGAAGCCCATGTTTTCTAGCAGCGAGACATACTTCATTCCTTTCAAAGATGGGAGTTGTGTGCTCCTCTCTCCTACTGCCCTGAGCTCAGTTACAGAAGTGAATGACCATGAGCTAAATTGCACCAAATATCTTATATACATGATTATCTTCTTTAATCCTTACAATTATCCTTGGATATAGGTATACCTTGTCTTGTGAAGAAATAGAGACTTAGAACATTAAGGAAATTGTGTATAAGAGTCACAGATAAAAGTCAACCATGAATCTTTAGAATCCAAAGCTCTGAATAACTATGCTACACTGTTTCTGATAGAAATAAAATAATAAAAAAAAATGGAAATCTCTTTTTAATTCTTTCCCCGAAGACTATATGAATAATATTCACCACAATAGAGATAAGCAAACAAACAAAAGAAAAACAAAACAAGGAAACCTCAGGACTCAGAGGAGTTAAGAAACTTGCTTTCCATCTCAGGGGTTTGGGATTTAAACATCAGATTTGACTGCAGAGCTTGTGTTGCCGTCGTTGTGCTACTTATCCAGCAATATTTGCTGCTGTATCATCATCATTATCATCATCTCACGATCGTCATAGAGCGTTTACTACATGGCAAGCGGTGTTCTTATAACTTGGCACATATCATCTGATTCAGGACTCAAAAAAGCGCCAGGGGATAGCTCTGCAGCCATTCTGGCTACATAATCGAGGAAGCACAGGGTCAGGGTTTGAATCATGTGGCCGAACTTACTCAGGAGTCTGGCCCAAGCCCAGCAGCCACTGCCTCACGTGCATGGTGCTTCGTAAGTTACAGTGCTATTTGAGTTGCCCTAAGCTTTGAGTGAGTCCTGTAAGTCAAGTGTCTTATTACTAGCATCCTACAGATAAGAAAACAGGCACTTAGAAAGGATAAGCAATTCTCAAAATGAAAGTAGCCAACAGGAGATGTCCAACAAGGACAGTCCTAGCCTAAATTTCATGCTGCCAAATAGTGACCTGAGTTGAAATGTTTTAATTTTTTAACGTTCTTTTATTTTTGATAGAGGGAGAGAGAGAGAGACAGAGGGAGACAGAGAGAGAAAGAAGGAGAGAGTGTGAGCAAGTGGGGGAGGGGCAGAGAGAGAGGGAGATAGAAAATCTGAAGCAGGCTCCAGGCTGTGAGCTGTCAGCACAGAGCCGAACGTGGGGGTTGAACCCATGAACTGTGATATCATGACCTGAGCTGAAGTAGGACGCTTAACCCACTGAGACACACAGGTGCCCCTAGACTGATTTGAAATGTTATCCAGAGAATGTGTCAGAATCAATACTGAAACTATAGCTACCAGAGAAACCACTACTTTCACTGGAAGCAGCAACTATTACCAGCTGAATTTACAGGCACAACAGGCATCACCACGAATGTGCTCCCATAAGGGCTACCACTGTTGTATCCACTGATCAAGGTAGTATCCCAGCCACTACAACCAGGTTAAATGAACCTGAAACTAGCATAGTCTTGTCAGAAACTGCAGCTACCACAATCTCTACTGGACTGATAACGAGAACATCTGCTAAGGTTTCAGTGGAACCTATAAACATCCGTTTGTATGGAACTGAGAGCCATAATATTCCTGACTACATTTTCAGCTGAACCTATGATCACAGCATCCAACATGGCTTCAACTGGACTAAAAATCATCATAATACATAATATCTGCTGAACATATAACCACAATATCAAAAGCAATAACAAGCACCACCCCTTAAGATTTATGACCATAATACCTGCCACCACTTCAGATGAATTACTCTTATACTAACTGGCATTTCCAGTTGGCCAAAACCAATACCCAGTTACCATAATTTCTGTAAAATCCTACTACCACAACAGCTACCACCACTTTAATTTAATTTATAGTCATAACAGGAAACACCAGCTAATCCTACAGCTACATTAGGAAGTAGCACTTGAACTAAATACACAACCACTTTAATTTCTACTGGTTCTACTACTCCACAGTTACCATTATCACCACCATTTCACTTCACCCCTACTCATGGTACCTTCAGTGAACATAGTACCTACCCTACTTCAGCTAAAATGCCGCTAACACAATGTCTACTGAATCCACCACTATAATCATGTCAAATTAAGTTACATATACTACTATTTCACTTGAGCCTACAATTTCCACACCTACCGCCATTTCAACTGAATATACAACCCTGAACAGATACCAGAACAATCACTATTTTCACTTCCAGTGAACCTTCTACTATAAATGCTAACACCACACCTCTTCTCCCCAACAACCCAATCTTTAATTACTGCCTTGAGGTTGTTACATCTAACCATCCCTGCAGTTGCTCATACTCTAAATTTAATCTACAAATGCTATCACAAGTGATTATTTGGCCAATAGAAATATTTCACTGGAGCCTGTAGCAATAACACCTGTTGGGAGCCATTCTGAACTCACTAGTTGAGAAAACTCCTTGTGAGGTTAAGGCAAGTTTGCACGGTCTCTTGCTGTCAGATGACAACTGATATCCACCCCCACTCAATTGTTTCTGCTTGAGCACTGACACCAGAAGCACCTTGTTGATTGGTATTCGGAGTGACTTATTCTGCCCTTGATATGATGATTGTACCTTGTGAAGGAACTTATTGTAGGGACTTCTGTTGGGATTAAGGGAGAAAACATTCCACTTCCTCAAAAACCTGTTTTTCTTATACTTCCCCTTAAGCAAACAGGCTATTGACCTGACTTAGTTCTCTTACAAAGAGCTAACTTTGCCTGTGCTATGCTAAAAACATTGTCCTGTTTGTATCTGAATGCTAAAGATGTCTTCCTTCCCCATAGGATAAGCATCTAAATCACCTACCTCAATCACTATTGATAAAGGTTATGCATGAGTCTTCTACAAATCTATGTTCTGGGAAATTTTTACTTATCAAAGAAATTTGTCATAAAAAATCATTGTCTAAGGCAAATGCCACTTCTGTGCTGTTACCCATACACTTAACCATAAATAAAGCTAAGTCTCAGTCAGTGCAGAGATGCCTGCCTGGTGACCAGAAAGAATCTCGCGGCTCTCATCCCTCTCTCACCAACACCGTCCATCCTTCAGGGACCCCTGGACCAGCTGGAACTGCACTCTGGCAAACACCTAAACTACTCCAGCAATAGCAATGTAGCTCATTACCAATGCACCAGTGCACAACACCAGATCTGCCTCATTTGCTTTCTGTGCCTATCAGAGCTCCATTTTATTAGGAATGATGCTTTGTTTTGTAAGAGTTTGACCCAGATGCCCCAGACATTTTGTTCTTTAGTACATGAATTCTCCGTGTATTGAATCAATAGATTATATGAATATATTAAACAAACTTACATGGAATAATTTTAAGTACTGTGTTTTGTTTTCTGCATGTGTAAAACTTTTATTTTCATAATTTTTCTTCAGATTGCTTTGTCAAGCAGCATACTTGCTAGAATTATTTGCTATTCTTTCATTTACCAAGTGCCTGTCCCCCAAAATATTGAAGAAGATACAGAAGAAACAACAATGCTGGCATAATTATTAAAATAATTAATTTGAACACTGTGCTTGAAATTTACTCTTTGTTAGAATTCCTAGATATTGAGATTCATACCACACCAACAGGATGGACCAGGATTGCATATTTATAAACACTTTTACAGTAGATTTTTTTTAAAGTTTATTTATTTATTTTGAGAGAGAGAGAGAGAGAGTGTGCGTGTGCATAAGTGGGAGAGGGGCAGAGAGAGAGAGAGAGAGGGAGAGAGAGAATTCCAAGCAGGCTCTGTGCTGTCAGCACAGAGCCCAGCATGGGGATTGATCCCATGAACTGTGGGATCATGACCTGAGCTGAAATCAAGAGTCAGACTGGGCCACCCAGGTGCCCCGACACACTCTAATCTTAACTTGGGTTTATAAAAGGTCATTTAAAGCGTATGTGTCTCATCAGGAAAGTGAGAATAATAGTACTTAATTCTTGTAGGTGTTATTAGAATTTGCTACCCACTGGACTAGGCATAAATATTCCTGTAATGTTAATAATATTATGTTAATCAAATCTTACATCCGAGGCTGTCCAACGGTGCCATTGCTTGCTGTAATCCAGCAATAGTTGAAACTTTTTATTCTTCTTCCTATCTACATTTGTAAAATGCCAGTTATGAGTCAGTTTACCAGCTGAAGACTTTATAAACTAGTATTTCAGAACAATAAGAATAAGGAAGGATATATTATTTTTAAAAATTGTAAAATTTCTACAAATGACATATATAGTCCCTCATATGAAGTGCTTGAGTGAGATGTGTTTTATAATTCAGGTTTTTAAAAATTTTATAAAGGCAATATGATATATTTACAATAACGCCATCAGGACTGTGGTAGCAAACTTGCAGCAAACATCAATATTTTTGTAATTAAACATACGCATAATCATGCTAAATTTATTAAAGGCTAAAAATAGTCTCTTTAGTTTTGATTAACTTTTGCTGCCAACTAAATTTGTGCCAGAGACGCAAAATAATTTGTTTTCAAAGCTTTTTGGATTTTGGAATTCTGCACCAAGGATCACAGACCTATATTCTGAAGAAAAAATGGTTTAATTGTGGGTGACCCCAGATATAGCAGGACCAGCGTTTAAGTCAATTGAGGGACCAAGGAAATTTTTGACTTGGTAAAAAAGAGAACTGAATCATGAAGGTCACTGTAAAATGGAATATCAGACCGTACAAAAACCATGAGTTCCCAGTCCCTGTGGTCAGAGATTAACTATGCAATTGCTGTTTGTTCTGTAGAAGCTGACATATTGAACCATTATGGAACCGATTTCCTAGCATACAAAACACGTACCTCTAACGATATAAAAAAGAACATTCTCTTTGCTTAAACAAAAATATTACAACTAAAAAATTTGGAAGTAAAATCAAAAGCCAAACATTCAATAAACAAAGCATAGGGGGTAAATAAAGGTTTTGCCTGTTTTAATCAATGCTGTCTGGATATCCAGGGTTGAGGCATGCCTGGGGTGTGCAAGGTGCTCAATAAACAGTTGGGGATAAGTTAATGAAAAACCGTGTTCTGTCAGTATAAACATATTTAAAATTTGTAAGTATACTTCAGATGGGTAATTAAGAAATTCAGTGACATGCATCAAAACATGTTTTTCTCCTGAAATTTCTATTTTAAGTAGGGCTAATTATTCTAGTTCCATTGTATTACTGAAATACTTTTTAATTACTTTTGATTCAGTGAAGGAACACCTGTTATAGAGATGGAGTCAGCTTTGAAAATACAATAAAACACCCTGATAGTGTTATGATTACCATATAGAAACATTTGCTGAAACTTTCAGGTTTCATTTTTAACTTTACTTGTAATGATTACTTCTAATTGCTTTGATAAAAAATTTGATAGGGCACTTTGGAGATTTATTTTTATTCCTTTCTTTTCTCCACAATGATCTTTCATACTTTTGAATTAATTGGGTTGCCTATCAGTATTTTACTTAGGCTTTGAAATTCTGTGCCTGATTACTTGGTTGTAATACTGGTAACAGAATGAAAAGTTTTAAGAATCCCTTTCTCTAAAATGTCTAAGATCAGAGGGCTACAGCCATCATATTAGCTCTCATATTATTAACTGACCAAAGAAGTCATAATCAAAGCATAGTGAGATTTCAAGCAAGAAAGATTTGTTTGAGTAACATGATTAAAAACATAGTTTTGACCTAGACTTCTAGATAACAATGCAATTCACTTCTCTGTTAGATGAATGAGAAATA